GGGACATGAGGGGGCCACTGAAAGTGTAACAGAAGGGAAGAGCCAGAACAGCCGACCTCTCCTGTTCCACTCCCAGTTATGTGTTAACCTTCATGGACTTTTATCCTTAATTTAAATGATTTCATCATTAAACCATATCCACGGTGTGGGACACACGCTCGACCGTGTGTTGATATCCAACATCCAATCATCCACTGTGTCACATGACACAGCAGAAATTCAAAGAGAGACGTGTGCATGGCTACAGGACCTGACACTCGGTCAGTGGTGCCGAAAAAGACTGGTTGGACTATTTTAAAAACTGCCGACAAACACTTTGTGGAGGTCAGAGGTCAGAGACGAGCCAGACTCTGAAGGCAACAGTTACTGTCAGTTACGGGCGGTGGTGTCTGCGGACTTGGGACCGGAAGGTTTCAGGTTCGAGTGCCACCAGCTGCCAAGCTGACATGGCACCGTGCCCACACACTGCTCCCCGGGTGCTTAACGCTGCCCCCTGCTGACTCTGGTGATGGGTCACATTTCGTTGTGTGTGCAGTGGTGTGCTGTGTCACAATGAAAAAGAATTCACTTTCACTCATTAAAACCAAGGAAGACTATTGAGGCAGAGGATCACAAGAACGTCCACTCCCTTCACCTGAAGACAGAGAGGACATAGTGACGTTGGACATACATGTCCTGAGTGGACGGGTCACAACACCACTGTACTTCCAGTGTTCTCATGAAACAACATTACATCTATGTTTTCATCGGAAAGAAAAAACACTTTAAAATATCATCAAGGTGAAAAAATATGGGAAATTTAATGCTATAGTAGCGATCAAATACAAAAGTTGTCGCCTATTTTTCCTAAAAGTCGTCCATCGACCATATTTTAGTCTCACTGCTGCCTGTTCTACACACTGGAGTTCCATGTGTTTCTACTGTAGTATTGTTTAGTTTTACTGGAAGCTACAGTACTTTGTATTTAATTTGTAGGCGTATGATCAAATATTTGTGTGTGTGTGTGTGTGTGTGTGTGTTCACACCATTTCATAATCCACTCCGTTGGATATGGTATGCCGCCTCTGGTCTTCCCGGGCCCGACTGTGTCTCCTGGTGAGGCCTGTAAGGCCGGTTGCTGATTCACTCTGAGACCTGGGTAATCCTGATTTTGCGACACCTGCAGAAATGTGAAACAGACGCATTTAAATACACGTCGACACAAATGCTGCGGCTTGATAGGTTCCCTCAGATCTCTGTAGACGTGTTTGTTAACTGATGGATCAACTGGGATTTTAACTAATTCCATATAAGAATACCAGTCAGCAGCAGCAGCAGCAGCAGCAGCAGCAGCAGCAGCAGCATTACTCAGGCAATTTAGTATCTGTTCAATCATAGGTGAAGAAATTCAACTTTCAAAATTCTTGATTCTCTTGATGTAAAAAGTTCATGTCCTTAAACTCGTAGTACTAAAGCCATAATATTATTAAGAGAATTATAAAGGCTTAAATAAAAAAAATAAAGACAAAAAGAGTTACGTTTTGCTTAGCAACATATCAAATGTCCAACAAGTACAGGAAGTGAAGGAGAGAGAGAGAAAAAACAAAACATTTGGGCTCACGGTGCGTGTGTGACGTCCACCACATGAGGGAGCTGTAGTCTTACAGACGACAGAGCCTGGTGTTAATAATGTTGACTGGGGAGCTAATTGTCATAACGTAAAGCTAACTAAGGCTGAATATAAGTGGAAATGTACAACAGGACTTCAGTAGCACGAGTGTCTCCGATATCATTCCCTCTGTAGTGCGTGGTAAATCAAACGTAATTATATATAAATGTCTATACATGAAAAAAATTAAAAAAACAATTAAATAATTATAGCTAAAAAGCAAGCTAGCAAGAAACTATGCCCAAAATAAAGCAATAAAACCTCAAATTTAGCAGAAATAGTAACAACATAAACAAAAAACTAAGTTAAATAAATAAAAAATAAAGCAAATTATCTTAAAGTTAAACATGACTAATCAGCAGAAATCTGGCGTTTTTTCACTTTTTCATGTGTCTCTTAGTTTTTCTAAATCAGGCCCAAAAAAAAAAAAGCCTCGTCTCTCAGTGGGTGTTTTTCTGGGTCAACTGATGGGGATAATGTAGACTTAAGTGCATGGCGTCACCTTTGACCTTTCTCAAAAGCGAGAGTGAGGAATTTGTACTGATGTTTGGGGGGGGGGGTCTCAGTGCAGCATTGATTCAAAGAGTCGCTGCGTTTCTAACTGGTCAAACTTGGCTAAGCCTGGCTGCGTGTGAGCGATTATAGCAAGAACACCGTTGGTCCGACTGTTCTCCTCACTGCGTGATATCATCCATCCATCCATCCATCCATCCATGTATGTAACTATGTGGCCCGAGTGCAAGTGACGCGAGCAGTTAAAGCCCGGAGGCGTCAACAGGAAGTGTAACTCCTGCAGCTCCAGACAGGCCTGGTTTCGTGACATCATACGTAACCAAGGCATCTCACAGCTGAGAGCGTGACTGTGTGTGTGGTGTACGTGTAAAAGAGAGTGAAAAGTGAAATGAAGCATAAAAAAGGACGCCTGTGTTATTATGAGCTGTCCACCAACAACAACGTCTCTCTGCAGCTCCCGCTCCTTCAGACCTGCGGGGAAATACGTGGAGACGTATCTTGGAATGTCATTGATCGCAGCCCCATTCCCGACTCAGCTCACAGCAGCAGGGGACAACTCTGACCTCACTCCACAAGCCAGATCACCGCAATGGATAAATCTCTACAGGAATTTCTGGACATGACCTCTGACCTGAGCTGAGGTTTACAACAGCAGTTGTTCAACAGAGCACCAACGTCCCCTCCAACAGGCCAGTTCAGATGTAGGAGAGTGGTGATATCTAAGAAGGTTGTTTGTGAAGAGTTAAGAGTCAATCTGTTTTTTGTTGATCTCTGCTGGAGAAAGACTTTAGTTGTTTGTGAAGAGTTAAGAGTCAATCAACTGGTTTTTGTTGACCTCTGCTGGAGAAAAACTAAGATTTTATCCCAAAAATTTTTTTGTCAGCTGTATTATTGTGATCACAAAGGAAAAAATCACGAAGAGGAATCATAAAAGTCAGGGGTCACTCAGGACCCTGAGTGGTATTAATGTTGTAGCTGTTATAGCTGATCATCAGGGTTAAATAAATTATTTGTTTAAATTGGGACTGTTTTTTTTCATCTTTGGGCTAACATTTTAGCTGTTTTTTTTACTAATATACACCTTTTAGCAAACATTCTAACACATTAGTGAAAAATTAAGATGGTTAAATTGACCTGGAAAAAAGTTTGTACGCCCCTAGTGGCGGCAAACTGTTCCCCACAATTTTAAATTAAATATATTATATATATTATAACTTATAGCTGGTGCATCTGTACAGTCAACAAAGTGTCATACTGTTCTTATTTTGTGGTACCAAAACAATGGCGTAGGTCCCTGAAAGTGGCTCAAACACACGGTCTGCTGATTGGTCAACAGAAAGTTAACGATAAAAGACCAAAGTTGGTCAAACTGTCATGAACACAGGTGATCATTGGAGCTGCAAATAACACAATTATAATAATTTTATGACAGTAAGTGAATGTCAAACCTGGCTGCATCGTATAAACTGTTTTTAGTGATACTGAATTTATTTATTATTTTTGACATGAAAACAAGAATTCAGTCATCAGACTGGTACATATAATTTAATTTCCCAGATATTATTTTACATTATATTCATCATCTGACACTTACTTCTTCTCCGAAGCTGTGGTGACTCCAATGCCAGTGACTCGATGGCTCTGACCTGGCTCTGCTGAGGCTGAGGTTGTGCGGGTTTAGTGGGGTGACCCGGGTCGGTCCTGAAACACCCTCCCTCTGGAGCCACTGGAATCCGCTCCAAGCTGCGCCCGGACCTCTCGAAGCCCGCGCTGTACCGGACTGGTCCACATGTGGGGTACACGGGTCCCTCCTCCGGCCTGGCCCGGCTGTGGAGTGAGGATGGACGATGCTGCTGCTGCTGCTGCTGGGTGTTGGACGCGTTACTCGGACCAAGTGGACGGACCTTGTTCTCAATCCGGATTGGAGCAGCGTGAGCCTTTAGGTGAGTGTTCTCCGGGTTGAGCATGGAGTACCGCAGCCCCGCAACGAACCGCTCAAAAGTGAGGCAGCCATGTGGCGGGGGGACCCGCCTCCGGCCGCCTAGCACCCCGCCCGGCAGACCCTGGGG